TAAATATTAGACGCATTCCCTTTGTATTTTTCTTAAAAACTTTAATATTTTAACCCTTGTTAATATGTAATATTGGCTCTCGTTCCCTGTATTAAGATTATTTATAATTATGTATTTATTTTTTTAGAAAAATGTAAAAGTAAAAAAGAGTTCTAAATTATAGATATTAAAAAACAAAATTTCTAAAGAAATAAAAAATATGTGCAAGAAATCATATCTTTAATTGAAGTTTGTTGTCGAATTTATTATTTCAGAACACTGCACGTAAAAATATTGATTCATCCAACTTCAACTAGCTTGGGGTTATCAATATTGATTTATTATTTATAATTTGCCTTTTCCCTTTCTTAGTTCCTCCGAGTGTCAACAAATTTCTAAATAATTCTAAAAATTTTAATCTTTGGGTTGCAACTTCTTTAGAGTGAAAGAAAAAGATCATATAGCTTGAAGATGGTATCGGTGATTGTCCGACCCTAAAACTCGACATATGAAGCCAAGGAAGAATTTCCTAGCGTGGGATTTAACTCATAGAAACCCTACGTTCAATGAGGCTGAGAATTTCCTTTTCAGAGTTGATCAATATAGTTTCTGTTAAAGCTCAAATATTCATCTTTTCAACATCCAATCGTTCCTTGCCCAAACACCTGCCTATTCTTCGGTGGAAGTTAATTTGAAGTCTTATGGCGGCCTTACTTCCATCCATTGGAATCATGTTTGAAATAATTGTAAATAATTAAGAAAGTTATTATTGTATATGCTTATATTTTAATTTAATCCTATTGTTATAATATTTTAAAGATTATAAACTTAAGTATGTTTAAGTACAACGTAATTTTTGAATTCATTTTTTTATCAACCAGCATTTTATTAATATTAATTAAACCTACGGTATGTGTCTTATTAAAAACTTCCCTAAACTTAAATGGAGGAAAAAATTACACATAGTAAGGTGAGCAAGATAAAAAAACACACACAACGAAAACCAACTACAATCCTCACAAGTCCGAACTCTAAAGGACTAAAACAGCCTACCACAAAACTGCCAAAACATACAGACCATAGAGAACCAAAAAAATCAAGGACACTCGAAGGACCACCACCACCTACTAAGGCAAATCCCAAAGCAAACAGTACTACCAACAAAATGAAGCAAAGCGGTAAAACCATCTAAGCAAAACAAATGAATTAGGCTGCTTACAGCTCAAACAAATGAACTTCCTCGATACCAGAAAACGCACACAAAGACAACAAAAATAATTCTAAGAGCTCCGGAGTGGCCACTTAGATGAAACTACTCGATTATGAAGCCACTGCTTACTATCTTTATAAGGAGAAACCAACACTAAACTCTTCCTATTACCACCAAGCTTGGAAACAATAAGCACTCGACGAACCATCATTCACCAGCCAAGCAACCAATCCACTAGAAAATTTCTAAACAAGATTGGATAATCTAAACTGAAGCAGCAAACAAAACCCCTCCAAACTTAGCATGCCCCTCATAAATAACTTGCACTCCCAGAATAAGCATCTACCACTTACACCAAAGAATCTTGATTAAATAAAAGACTTACCACTTCAAAAATTTGATTTACCCCAACTATAGCAATCCCGAAACCTCACATCTTCTTATTCTCTTGCACCGAGATCAATAAAACTGACACAAAAACTACCAACAGACCCTGGTGATACAACATCCTGAATCCAACTAAATCACGAGCCAACTGTTACCACCGACTCAAACAATTCCGCACGCAACCACACAGGACGAGGGAGACGGCACAACTACCCTTGAACACATAAGAAGCGACAAACAACAAAACGGTAGAACAGACCCTGCTGATATTACAAAAGACCATCTCCGACCTTGAACCACTATTCAACACCTACCACCCTGCCATTGCCCTGATTGGTTCTAAATTCCAATCACCTGGATGCCAAATTTCTTACCAAAGAGTGGGTCTTTTCCGCCTCTATGGCCGCAGCAACCCATCGGTTTTTTAAGTCAAAGTCAAATATAGATCTCCCCGATATGTCGTAAGATACCAAAGACACAAATTTAAAAGTCAGTTCAAATAAAATTTTAATCTCAATATTTAATACATAATTAATTATTTGATTTTAAATTTAAGTTAAAAATTAAGTTCAAGTTATTGGGTTAAAATAGTATCAATTTTAAAATATTAGTTTAAACTTGAATACAATTTAGTGTCTAAAGTAAGTTTTATATTTACGCCTCACGTCTTAGAACATGATTTTTTTTAAATCATAAGAAAAATATCCTATCAAGATCTAGGCTTATAATATGATGGTCCGAAAATATCCCTATTCAAATGAGGTTGTAAGGTGACCGAAGTTAAATCATAGATGTTCAAGAATGGACAAAGAGAATCAACTAACTTAATGCGAGTGTTCCTTCCCGAGGTGTCCAAAGAAAGCTAGTTGTCCATGAATTTTGTCAGAGACTATGTATTGCTCTCACCAATGGACAGGAACTAAAGGCAGCATTGGGGTCTTGTCTTATCTTGATTACTTGTGCACAATTGAATTGGACAAGGAGGACTTCAAAGTCATGCAACCAGGCAACTTGGAATCCGTGATATGCAACCCAAAGCTCAGCGTGAAGGCTATCTATGATTCCAATTATTTTGTTGAAGTGGATGAGACAATTACCAATATTGTCGCGCAATGAACAACTACAGAGCCGAATCCCGAGCTTGATGAGGCTGCTCCATCAACATTCAAACATGTCCGGTCTGGTTCAAGTAATTTCCATTGAAAGGAGTCTGTTAGGTGCGATGTTTCATTGGGAGAAGAAGAACAAGTGCGGTAGTATCGCGCCCAGATGGCTCGAAGGTAGGCTGCTTTAGGAGATGACGTAACATTGCCGAACACATATTCCTTTCTGCCCTTCCACAATTGCCGTAATGAGTCAAAGATCGTGGTCTAAGGTTATGTTTGGTTCGCTGGAATTTTATGAGGGAATTGGAATCTGTGAATGAATTAAAATCTGTCAGGAATTGGAATCCAATTCCATATTCTGTTTGGTTCGCAGACATGTCAGATTAATTTGATTTCAGTAATGTAAAATGACAGAATTGCCCTTCTTGTTTTTTTTTTTTTGCTTTATTTTAGTTTGTTTTACAACTTATATATAGTAATATATTATAAAAAATTTAAAAATATTAAATTTTCATTTTATTGATTGATTATTCATTTCAATAAATTATAAAAATCATGCTAATAACATATAAGTTAAAATCATCGCAATCAAAATATGTTAATAAGTTACCAAAAGATAGAGCAATATTTCGATACATTCCAATCGGAGTATGTTAATTAGTTACCAAAAACTATTTTTATTCAATATATGAATTAGAAACCCGACCCGACACGACACAAAATAATAATAAAATTATTTTTATTCAATAAAAACATTGACTTAATTGAAAATATATATATATAGAGGGATATTTATTGTAATTATTCCTAAATATATAAGGTAAAATTATATATATTTTTCGGGTCGGTCCGATTTTTTTCACCCTAAACCCGAACCCGACCCAAATATCACACTTAAAAAAACCTGACTCGACCCGAAAATCACACTTAAAAAACCCTACCCGACCAAAATAAAGTTTCACCCGACCCGACCCGACCCGAAATAATAAAAAAATATTTTTATTCAATATATGAATAAGTTACCAAAAGATTGATGAGGGTAGTATGGTCAAATTTCAATTCCCTCCAACAAGGGAATTGAATTCCATCCATTCTTGGATGAAATTCACTTTCCCTCATTTGATGGAAAGTTGAAGCCATGAGAGATTCCAATTCCCTTGAAAAACTTGAACCAAACATGAGAAAGTGGTGGAATTGGATTCTAATTCCCCCTAATTCCAAGGGATTCCATCAAACCAAATGCCACATAAGGGATATTCGAAGCAGTGACCAAATTGCGAGAATATATATTTAATAAATATTATTTTAACTCATATTTGAAAATTTAAATTTAGGTTTATAATCATTGTTTTATATTATAAAATATTTTAAAATCCATATAGTAATTAAAAGTTTTCTTATTTTGAATAAAATATTCAGAAAAGTGTCGACCATGTTGGTGTACACTTTGATTAATTAAATTACCTGGCTCAGAGGCTTAGGCCTAAATCCCCCACTAAATAGAAAAGTCCGATAAAAATATTGACAACACGCCCATAGGATTACTTATAGTAATATTTATTTATAAAGAGGCCCATCATCGAGGACCAGACTGCCTCTATCAAATACAACATTTGACAGCTTTCGAAGTCATATAAATGAATCATAAATTTTAATAATTTAATTTAAGTATAAAAATAATTAAAAATTAATTGAGTTTTTATTTTGGCCTATTTTTTCAAGTTAGAATTAATGAATCATAAATTAAATTGAAAATTACTGTAAAAACAAATACTCGTGTATTTAGGAGCATAATATAATTTTTAAATATGTCAATGATTAGGTATTTTTAATAGAAATTACAATGAGATATATATTACATAAAAAGTAAATAAAATACTATAGAATTAAGTTTTCCACACGTTACACAATAATTTGTGTATCAAAGTAAATAGAGTTGGCATATTCTCTATATTCCTTCTCCTCCTTTACCACGAAAGAGATTGTTGCCTAATTAAAGAATAGTCAACAAAATCAAACTAGTCTTATTTCCAGTGATTACAAGCATTTTGATCATTCAATAATCAGCAAATCAAGGGTCAATATTCCCCTCCCCACCCAGAAAGAAACGGATATTCCTTTTAGAAGTTAGAACTTTCCTCGCATCCGCTTACACCGACACAGTGTTTGACTAAAGATACCGCCAAATCACAACCCTCCATCTTCGATCGTAGTCATACACCGCCTCATCAATATATAAATACCATACCCTTTCCTTGTATTTGTATCACGTTATTTGAAAGCATATAACAACATTCAAATAGCTAAACTCTTCTCTTTGTAATCTTTTCATTTGCGTTCCTTGGTTTCTACATCAACCATCCCAAATGGCAGGTGCAGGCATTGTTGTGATTTTCGATTTCGATAAAACGATCATCGATTGCGATAGCGATAACTGGGTGGTCGATGAGTTGGGTGCCACCGAGTTGTTCGATCGGCTTCTTCCAACCATGCCATGGAACTCTCTCATGGTTAGTCTTCGATTTCTTTCTTTTCACGTTTCATGCATGTTCTTGGTTTCATGTATTCTTTCTTTCAAATCAAACGATTTTCGCGTTTCATGCGTGTTCTTGATTTCATATATTGTTTCTTTTGGACTCATTAATAATGGTTAAATTCTTACAGGATCGAATGATGAAAGAACATCATTCGCAAGGAACCAAACTCGAGGATGTTGTCACAGTTCTTGAAAGAACGCCTATACATCCTTGTATCATTGAAGCCATTAAATCAGCTCATGCTTTAGGGTATGAACGCACCTTTTTCTCTTCTTTTATTTGTATCACATTTATGCATGTCTATTTTTCTATCTAGATAAGAAAAACACTAAAAATTGTGGTGGCATTGAATGATTTGCTTTTCAGATGTGACTTGAAGATTGTAAGCGACGCAAATACGTTCTTCATTGAAACAATTTTAGAATACCATGGCCTGAGGGAATGCTTTTCTGAGATTCATACGAACCCTAGTTTCGTTGATGAAGAAGGCAGGCTACGGATATTCCCTCACCACGATTTCACCAAATCTTCTCATGGATGCGGTCATCCCAGCTGCCCTCCGAATATGTGCAAGGTATATATATATTACGTTTTTTTAAATGTAAACTCCCAAGTGAGATCAGCTGTATCTAATGCTATCATCTTAACTTATTTTGCATGTAATTGATTATTTTCCTGAAATATAGGGTACTGTAATTGGAAAGATACAAGCTTCTCTATCGACGGAGGACCAGAAGAAAACGATAATCTACCTTGGAGACGGACTTGGTGATTTCTGCCCAAGTTTGAAGCTTGGTGATGGAGACTATGTAATGCCAAGGAAGGGTTTCCCAGTTTGGGACTTGATTTGCAAAAACAGGAGCCTAATAAAGGCACAAATATGGGAATGGAGCAATGGGGAGGACTTTGAACGCGTGTTACTCCACCTTATCGCCAGAAACATTTCCATCCACAAAAAGAACTCCGGTGCCAATGTTGGCAAGCTCTTTTCAGTCGAATGCAAACAAGAAACGATGCCGTTGCCGGCCGCCACTGGCCCCCAAGCCTTCCCCCAGCCACTTCATGTTATTCATTAGAACTAGTTGAAATCAGAGAGGCTGATGTATTTGATGTGTTTTTGCTTTCTAAAATTACTGATGCAGTAGTTTTGATAGTAGAAAAACTTCAAACAATTGAGCGCGAGTGTAATTTTTTTTATTTAAATAACATTTTATTCAGTTTATTAACCTAAACTGGTTATTCATTTTTTCAATTTTGATTTTGATATTCATCGGGAAACAAATGGCTCAATTCAGATAAACCTATCATGTGATTGTGATAGTGATAATTGGGCAGCTGAGAGCTGGGTTTGTAGTTTGTTCAACCAGCTTATCCCCTCCATTCACTGAAGTTGTCGCATACTAAGCTTTAATAATCTATTGTAACCTCATTCTGTGTTTTGTTGTATTTTTCCATTCCAACACAACAAATATAGAACTCAATGTTAGAACTCCAGCATGAACTAGTGGCTCTAACCCCCTCCAAAAAAAATCAATTCAATAAGAGTAAACTTAATTTATTTTAAAAAATTAGAAAAACAATTCATAATTAATTTATAAACAAACTTAAAAAATATTTTCTAAGAATAATATTCCATGAATGTAGATATAAAATGTTCCTTCCCTTGTGGTGCGAGATTTGGAGCACGAGTCATATATTCACATCATTCCATTGATTATATATAAGAAAATAATAATTTCGACCATGAAAATACTTTAATCAATCGATGCACAATCTGATTAATTTACCTTCCCCGGTAAGACCAAGAGCTGAAGACGATAACACCTACAGCATTTATTATAAAGAGAGCCATCGAGGACTGCGCCGCCTCTCATCCCACTATATATGCACACTTAATATAATGGTCAAATAGTATTTTTGGCCCTTAAACATATACAAAAATCATTTAGTTCTTTAAAAATTCTCTTTTTAAACTTTTGAATTTTTATAAAGAACAGAAAAATAATAAATTTTTATACTAATATAATTTTTTTTGCATTTTTGTTAATATTGCTAACAAATATTGTTATTATTTTACGTAAAAGGACCAAAAAATTTTAAAATATATTTAAGAATATTAAATGTAAAAATATATAAAATTATTAAAAACGAAATGATATAAAATGGCTGACTTAAACTTAATAAAATTATTTTTTTCAACAATTGATTCTATTGGCAAAAAAAAAATATCAAAAACCAAAAAATAAAAAAGTAAAAAAAATATTTAAAAAATAAAAAAGTTAAAATATCATTATACATACTCTAATTTTATGATTTTTTACAACTTTGAAAGTCATATAAATGCACCCATTATCTTATGTTGTATCCCTCTCTTTGGTTATTCCCTTCACTTGTCTCCCTTTATTACGTTGGAAAATTTGATCACTTTATTGAAGCCTAAATTATCGTAATTTTCTTAATTATTAGATTACGTAAAATAAAAATAGTTAAAATAAATGTCTAAAATTATATTTTTAATGTTTTCCTAAAATTAATGTTTTATTTATTTTTAAATAATATAATGTTTACAACAGATTGATTTCTATTCCATTCATAGATAAATATTAAGTGTTTAAACACATTTAATCTCTCATACTTTTTTATGTTATATTAGTAACAATATCTAAAAAGACATATCAAATGAAATTTTCATAAAATAATATAAATTTAGATTAAACTTGATATAAAGTAAGTTGAGAGTTCTAATAAACATCCTTGTTACAGGCTATATTTTCCACATGCACCTTTGTTTTTGTTTTTTTTTCATTTTGAAGGGAATATGACGTGGCATATTCCGGCCTTTTATGCCATGAGAGGTTTGCTAATTACAAAAATATAGTTAACAATATTAAACTAGTCTGTACCATATTGACTACCTTTTTGATCTTTGAATAGTCAGCATATCAAAGGCCAATATTAAACTAGTCTGTACCGTATTGACTACCTTTTTGATCTTTAAGAGGGGGGGGGGAATCGGTTCCTTTTAGAACTTTCGTGGCACCAGGAACGCCATCGTCAACAAATCACAGTCCTTCATCTTCATCACCCACGATGTTTGGGGGAAAAGGCATCTCGTCCATCTATAAATACCATATCATTCCTTCTATATATATCACATAATTTGAAAGTGTAAACCCTCAATCAAATACCTAAGCCTTCCGATCGTAATCTTTTCGTGTCTCCTTGGTTCATAGCCAATTGTCAGGTTCAAGCATTGTTTTTGTTTTCGATTTCGATAAAACGATTATCGATTGTGATAGAGATAATTGGGTGGTGGATGAGTTTGGTGCCACCGAATTGTTCGAACAACTTCTTCCTACAATGCCGTGGAACTCTCTCATGGTTAGTCTTTGGTTTCTTGTCTTTCACGTTCGTTTCTAATTGTTTTTCTTCATTTCCAATCAACCAATTAATCGTTGATAAACTATTATAGGATCGAATGATGAAAGAACTTCATTCGCAAGGAACCAGAGTTGAGGATATTGTAGCTGTTTTGAAAAGAGCTCCTATACACCCTCGAATCATCGAAGCCATTAAATTGGCTTATGCTTTAGGGTATCGACAATCGATGCACTCTTCTCTCTTGGTTTATATTTCAACTTTCTTATGGGAAAATACTAAGATTTTTTTTGTTTTTCAGATGTGACTTGAAGATTGTGAGCGACGCAAACACGTTCTTCATCGAGACAATTTTGAAACATCGTGGCCTGGAAGAATGTTTCTCGGAGATCCATATAAACCTTGGTTTTGTGGATGAAGAAGGCAGGCTAAGGATATTCCCTCACCATGATTTCACCAAATCTTCTCATGGATGTATTCACTCCATCTTCCCTCCAAATATGTGCAAGGTATATATATTAACTTGAAAAATCAAAAGTAAATAGCAATGGCACCGTATGTTTCATGCATATGATATGACATGGGAAACAAAAAAATCTAGTATAAAATTTTTAAAGCTGCACTCCAAATATGTTGCATGCAAACTCCAAAGTATGATTAACTGCAACTTATAATTTTATGTTATCATCTTAACTTGTTTGCCATGTAGTTGATAAAGTATATGTAGTTTAATTATTTTCCTGAAATATAGGGTACTGTCATTGAAAAGATACAAGCTTCTCTATCCATGGAAGACCAGAAGAAAACAATAATCTACCTTGGTGACTGACTTGGTGATTTCTGCCCAAGTTTGAAGCTTGGTGATGGAGACTATGTAATGCCAAGGAATGGTTTCCCTGTTTGGGACTTGATTTGCAAAAACAGGAGCCTAATAAAGGCACAGGTATGGGAATGGAGCAATGGGGAGGACTTTGCAAATGTGTTGCTCCACCTTATTTCCATTCCCAGAAACATCACTAGTGCCCAACTCCATTCAGTTGACTGCAAACTAGAAACAATGCAGTTGTCAGCCGCGGCTAACGCTGACCATTCCCTTCATGTTATTCATTAATTAGTTGAAGTCGTAATGGCTTGAGAATTTTGTCCTTAGATCAGTAGAACTATTATTGCATTCATTAATCTGTAATTTTGAGGAGAGGAACGTCTAATTATTCAGTGGGAGTGTGTTCTTTTATTTAATAAAATAACATTCTATTTATTGATATTTTCTTCTTCTTCTTTTAATCTTATTCTTGCGATTTATTTGACCCGTAATGGATTATGGAGCTAAGGCCCTTTGACTGCGCTCTGGGCTTACAGCTCTGTAGTAGACTTTGAACCTTTATTTGTCTTTGTCTTGAATGAGCATACTCTAATCTTACTGGGCACAATAAATTTAAAATTATTATTTTAACAAAAAAACATTATTAATTGTTTTCTTCGCTCGAAGCCTCAGAAGAAACATTATTAAACTTAATCACTGGAACGGAAGATTCTGTAAAATTTAGCTACAGGAGAGAGGGGTTTACAGTTTTCAAGGATCTTGTCTTGTCTTGTGTTTTTAAATAAAATGTGAACTCAGCTTTGTTTTAAACTTTAAACCCATGTAATTTGGACCATAAATTGATTGTTACCTAAATGTATTTTTACAGCCATTTTGGTTCATAAATTATTAATAATGGATCTATCTCATAAAAAATGTTTTAAACCATAAGTTGTTGCATGATTAAAGCATTGAATAATTCATGCGATCAGTTAAAGTAATGATTTTGACTGTCAGGAATAAATCCATGGCAGCGGTTAATATGGTATATGGCATCGGTTAATACATTTTTGATTCTGAATATGCTTCATAATGGAATAATAATGATTTTGAGTTCAATTCATTAATGGAATAAATTTTGAGTTTGAACAACTCGCGAATCAATAGGATTTATCTGCAACATTCATCTTCAAAGTTAGAACTAATCATACGTATATAAGTATTGTATTTATCACAAACAGGAAACAATAGTAGCTGTTAAGAAGTCTAAATTTAACAGCTGGTGACACACCCTCCCCAACTTATTGAACAGAACTTTTCCCACGACGATGAACAAAACATTTGTTGAGGTTTTACAGCTCCATTTCACAGGGCCTGTTTAGCTTTCTCCTTTTGGTACCGGGGCTTTTAGGCTCATCGCTTTTATAGCTCAGGCAAGCGGCATCCAGCACCCCGATCGGGCTCTTGGGGGGCACGGTGGCATTGTTGACTCCAACCAATGACATTTCATGCATACACTTGATCACTCTTTCCTGCAAATCGAAATCAATTCAAAAACCATAATTCATCCCATATAGTTTGACTTGTTTTTACCTTTTGTACATGTAGAGTCAGAAAAGACAAAGCTTTCTCAGTGTCCACTGTTGCGACAGATATGGCCACTGCTGCTGCAATCTCAGAAGGCTTGAATTCCAACAACTCAATCCCTGCATTCAATTCCAAATTCAGTTTCCCCCTCAAATTATTTGCTATGAAGCAGAAAGTTGGGGGCCGGGGGGGGGGGGACCTGTTATTGTGGTTGAGATGAGTTGGATTGATCTCAACACGGAACTCCTTGGTGGGATTTTATCATCATTTAGCTTGTAAAGGAAATAATCTACGAAGGAGAATGGGGTGATTGCTTGCATCTTCCAACTCAATGTGCTCAGCACTAAAAGCTCCATTCTTTGTATGGTCCTAGCCTCGAACACAAATTTACATTCCCCAACCTGCAAATCTAAAAGTAATGGAACTTGAGTCTCCTCCATTTTGGCTGCAAGAGATACACATGCCACACCTAGTAATTGCATCGTCCAAGCTTTACCCTTCTGCATCATTACATACAGTTAATCGGTAGGTCCAAAAATTCGAAGAATCTCGTGTTTGATTGGGTTTTTGAGCTTACAGGTAATTCATACGCGGAGAGAAACCTGTCCAAGTAGTTTATTGATAAATACTCACACAATGGTCCAAAACTGAAATGGCCACGAACCTGTTCAATTAAAAAAAAAGCAGATCAAGACGATGGAAAGCAAATGAGGTGATTCATTCCTGACTTAATAACCCACCTTCCTAATAAAATCAATAGCTTCTCGTCTAGCCGCCGGGTCTAAATCACCACTCTGTAGCCTCTTCAAGTAATTGGCATTGGGAAAATGTTGGTGTTCTTTCTCAACCATTAAACCCATGCATTCTTCACTCGGCAACTCAACTCGGTTTTGATTCGAGTTTCGATAAAATCTATGATTCCATGCCGTTGCCCCAAACTCCCCCACCTTTCCAAAGCAATCATCGAAAATGCTCAACTTTTCTTCTTCTTCACATAGAAGACTCGAAAAAGCACAATCAAAATTCGGTGCCATTGCAGACAAAAACCTCCCGAAAGTACTTCAAGAAAAAACTGGAAAAAAATCGTATATCCTCTAAATAAGAAATAGTAATAAGTTTATATGCGAAACAAAAGTATTTCTTTTAGTCAAAGAATTGAAGAACAAAGAAATGGGTTTTTGTAAGGGAATGATAAAAACAAGTTTTACAATCCCTCCCTCAATCAAACTTGCAACTTGCAAGTCAGGAAGACGGTCCCTTAAGAAGCAAATCAATGCCCTTTTGAGGGCAAAAGCAAGAGAGAGAATGAGCGGGAAGATTAGAGAGGCAAAATATAAGTACTAAATTAGAGTATTGTATTATTCTCTGATTTCGCAAGTCGTGCAGATCAAAAATTTTGAATCTTTTCTTCCCAACGTGTTTATTTCGAAAAAATTATCCAATATCCAACCATTTGGATTTCTGAATTTATTGCGTTGAATTGTCTGGGAAAATGTTGTTTTGTGATGGATTTAGAAAATTTATTTTGTTTTGACAATATCACATTTTTTATGTTTTCTTGGAACAAAGCTTCGTTTCGTTTATTTCATGCTATTCATTATTAGGAAAGTTTGATTGAATTTCCTCTTTTGCTATAGAATTGGAGATTTTTTTTTCATTTTAATCTAATTAGAGATTTTTTTCCCTGTGGGTTAAATTTTGAATTTTAAAATATTTAAATATATATATATATATATATTAATATGTTGGATAAATCAATGTATAATATAATTACAATTAAAGACATTATAAAATAATTTAAATATTAACTAAAATTAAGGGTACATATCAATAACTTTTTAATGTGCTGAACTTTTACAATATATTAAACCTAAACTTTAAACATAAATTTTTTTTAAGTTAATAATAATATTATTTTTATAAAAATAAAATTTATCTATTTTTTTATGTTCTGAAATGTAATAATTTAATTAATCCATCAAGTGATTATAGTAGTTAAAGGGAATATTGTTCTTCTTTGAGGTCTTGGATTCAAGTGGCTACATCTGCAAGATATGTGTACGGTGGCAATTAGTTAGAAAGGTTCTAAAGATAGACTACATTGTAATTATACCCATTTTAAGTGTTGGATTTAAATTATAACTTTGTTTTTTAATTAGTCTAGGTAAATACAAAGTTATATATATTTAAAAGATTACCGACCATTTGATAATGAGAACACATATATCATTATAGATTGTAATGTCATGCTTGAACCCATGACCTCGAGTGATAATAATAATCTCTTCACCACTAAGAGGTGTCTTAGTTGGTGAGATATATTAAATTATTTTAAGTTTTAAAATATAAAATAATTAAAAATGGATAAAATATGAGAGATAATTTTACTTTCTTTTTAATAATAAAGAAAAGAAATGGGAGTCTAGGCTTCTCCTTCAATGTGAGATAATTTTACTTTTGATTTCTTCTAATGGAGATCCAGCCAAAGCTTCCTTATCCTTTCAGCATTTCCTCGCACACTTGTTTACTCTCCACATATTCTGCACTACTATAATCCCCGAATCCATTCACTTGCTCATTCAATATTTTCTATGAATATTGACATGAAACGAAGGGAAAATGCTAACTAATTCAAAAAAATTCTTTATTGCCAAACAGAACGTCAAGACGGTCAGAGAACAGCACGTAGCACATGGATGTATGAAGCATTAGAAATGTTATGGAAATCAGTCAAACTGTCCATCTTTGTACAAAAAGCGGTGGGTTTTACCTTTTCTTCCACTTTGAGCAGCATTCTGATCTTTTCAGCTATTGGGTGCTTTAGATTTTGACAATTATCCTTGTAACTAAGAACATCGTTACAATAGGAGTTTGAAAGCAGAGAGACAGGGACAAGAACATTGTCCATCATTTAAACTTTCTTGGTAATGGTGTTTTATAACAAAACAACGTCTGTCTGGTCGGTCGACTAGTAATAATATTTACAGTCAAATAGAAACTGTAGACAGTTGGTCCATTCTTTATTGGTTGTTCTCATACAAGAAGATTCGATACCCCTCGACTAGGTCTTGCGTTTTCCTTCTTGTACGCATCCGTGTTTGACGAGAAAAAACATTGAATTCAATTCTCATGATTATATAATCCGGGTTTGAAAACGGTAAAAAGAGAAGAACTTGGACTGAATTACGGAATAACCTTGGATGCTTTTGTTCCCAACGTATCCATTAGCTCGTTCAAGAAGGCGTGCTTAGAATACAAGTAAATAAAGAGACTTTTAGGGACACACATTTCTAACCCTTTTTCCCTTCCCCGATCTTCTGTCGACTTCTTTCCTTTTTGTTTCGATTTTCCCTGTATATTATGCTTTGGAATTCAACCTTTTTTTTGTAGTTATGGGTTGATGGGAAAAAAATTTATGAAACACTGAAAGTTAAATATAAAATTAAAATAAAGTATAAAAGTCAAGAGCCAAATATATTATTATGATATTTTTATTAATTGTTGCATATTTTATAATTTTTTTTGTAGTTAAATAGTTGGGGACTTTATATGTATTTTACGCTTAAAATAAACGAAAGCCTTCCGATGCCGATTACCATTTACCAGTAGTGTCTATATTCCCCGCTTTGCATTTACATGTTGAACTCTAAACCCAAAGCCCTCTACTGTAGCTGCTTGAGATCCGAGCTTAACATAATGTCATGTCACCCGTCACCCATTTTTTTAAAGAGAAAATAACTTCAGTTACCGAAAATGTCTTATAGTATACGATTTTAATCAATTTTTTTTTGGATTTATAAAAATGACCAACAAAATCGCAACGCGAACTCTAATTTTTTAACTCAGTTTCCAAATTCGCAACGCGAATATCCAGATTCGCAACGCGATTTTGAAAAATGTGTTGCGATAGTTAAAATGTGTTGCGAGAGTTTGAAAAACGTGTTGTTGCGATAGTGAAAAAGTGTTACGATAGTGAAAAATCCAAAATAAGTTTACATTTTAACTATTCTAAATTCACGTGGAGTTTGAAACAATAAAGAATATGTTGCGATAGTATAAAAGATTCTCAAGCCATTTGTAAGATCTTAGTTTGAAACAATAAAGAATGTGTTGCGATAGTGTAAAAGATTTCCAAGTTTTGGCAATGTTCAATCCCACATAGTATTGGAAACACTATTGGAAATGGGTATTTAAGACTTAGATTTCCCACTTCCTTGTTGAGTAGAAGAGAACAACGGGGACTCTCGCGCACCGCCGCCGCCCGCCGTCCCGTCTCGTCTCGGGTCGTGGTCGTGGTAATACGTGTCTTCGACACGTCCGAACAGATACTATCTTTGTAGAGAAAATTATTAAGAAAAAAATGCAATACCACCAGTCGTTACGAACTTGGACTATTGCAACGAATTTGGACAATCGCAACGCGAACTTCGACTATCGCAACGAATTTGGAAAATCGCAACGCGAACTTGGATTATCGAAAAATCACGTTACGAATTTGAAAACTGAGTTGAAAAATTAGAGTTCTCGTTGCGAATTTAAGATCGCGTTACGATTTTGTTGGTCATTTTGACAAATCCAAAAAAATTGATTAAAATCGTATATTATAAGGCATTTTCGGTCACTTAGGTTATTTTCTCTTTTTTTTTTAACTCATCCTTTTCATTTTCAATGTTTCTATTTATATGTTAAATATTGATTGTGCACTTATGCTTAAATTTTTTTAAAAGAAAATGTTTTTGAAATATATTAACTTAGAGTATATTTTATTTTTAAGTTAAAATATATTTTTAAGTTAAGATATTTTTAAAAGTTACGATCATAATAAAATATAAGTTAAATTGTATGTGAGGTCCTCGTATTTTTTAAAAAATTAATCTATTTTTTTGTATTTTTTATACTCAACGTGGCTTTCAAACTTAGAAAATAGATTCAATGTGATCTTTTAATTAACAGATTTCGTTATTGATCATTATGATACTGACGTAACAATCGAAAGTGATTGATGATGTAACAGATTGGCTAAACTAGTTTTTTTGTCGAGCCTGAGGGTAAAATTGATTTTCTTAAAAAAATTGAAGGGCTTATTTGATTTTTTAAATAAAAATATTATTAATTTAAAATATAAAATTATTCAAAAAAATTAAATATCAAAAATAAAAATTAAATTACTAAAAATTAAAAATATATTATTATATTTTATCTCAAATTTAACCTGCTTTTTATTTATATAAACATGAACTTGTTCATCTTATAAAAATTTTATTTTATAAATTTATTTCTAATTATCTTAAACTCTAATTGTCTTTCAAATTTGATTTCACTAAACTTTCATAAAATTGAACTAAATAAATATTATAAATTCTTATAAAAATAAAATTATAAAATTAAAATTTATGTATTAATTATCATAAAATATATAATTAAAAAAATAGAAAAATAGTTATATAATTAAAAAGAATATTTTAATGAATATAATAGGATAGAAAAAAATAAAATTCATTAAATGTGGAATCCACGTGTTTGAGACTTTTTGTATCCCTAATATATATATTTATTTTAATTTTTCAAAAGATAAAAAATACTTTTCTATAAAATAAAACTCAATTAGAATTGACATGTACGAACATAATAATATAATTACAATGTTAAATAAAATAAAATCACTAATTCGTCTCTAAATTAAATTAATCATTTAACAATGATATTTTCAATCACTTTGATCAATATATATATTTTTAATTTTTTAGCAATTCAATTTATGTTTTTAATATTCTATATTTAATTTTTTTCTATATTTGTATAGTTAAAATTAAAAATATTTTTATGAAAAATTAAATAAGCCCATTATTTAAAAAAAACAATTGGACCTCAAACTCTATAAAAACCAAATTAATTCATCTGTCATATCATCAGTCATATCATCAATCATGTAACCATTCAGTGTGGATTGTCACGTTAATAATTTAATGGTCAACTATGAAAATAGTTGGTCAAAGAGTCATATTAGGTATGTTTTCTAAGTGTGAGGGCCACG